CAATGAAATACATGACTTTAAAACATAAGTGACCTTTGCAGCTTGGGGAATGCCTGGGCAGGGCTCTGGGGTGTCCTTGTGCTGTTGCTCTGGCCCTTGCTGGGTGAGCTCCAGGCTGGGGCTGAGGCAGGTGCTGCTCTTGCTTTGGTGGCAGGTGGAGAGCGGCCGAGCTGATCCGGAGCGTTCCCCCAGAGGTGCTGCCCCAGCTGAGGGCCAAGGTGGCTGCCATGGAGCTGCTCAAGGGCCACAGGGCTGACATTGGCCTCCAGAGAGCCTGGCAGGGCAACTACATCGCACTGGTGAGTGAAGGGACCTGGGCTCAGGGGCTGGAAGGGGAAATTCGGTAAAGCTAGTGTTGGTTTATTGGGAGGGGAAGTACTTAGAAATTTCCTCTGTTCATGTGGGTTCAAAACATTGACTTACACTGCACTAGGAGTGATTTTTGTGAATAAAGCAGTGCCATCAGCTGTCTCTACAAACAGGCAGAGCCAGGCTTCACTGGTAGACTGAAATGTTGGATAGAATGAAAAACACAGGGACTGAAAGAAATTCTCTCTAGGCAGATTTGATTGCTTCCCTTTACTCCATCCTCCCTTGCAGCATTTTGGTGTGTCAAGGTTTGCTTTCCCGAAGCACAGAAGGGTGGGGGGAGCCCTGTCCTGAGCCTGTCTCTGCTTTTCCAGAAACCAGACAGGGCCCAGAGCTCAGGCTCCTTCACCCCCGTGGCCAACGAGCTGAAGCGCAAGGACAAGTACATGAACATCCTCTTCTCCTGCCACGTGCGCAAGGTAACGGGGCTGGGGGCGCCCAGGGACCAGCAGGTGACCCTGGGCTGCTGGGACAGCACTCAGAGCCCTTCCAAGGAGCTGAATCAGGGATTTTTGGGTGGAGCAAGGTTGGGTGGCTGCTGGGGCCTCATCCTGTCAATTCTTGAGTCCCTGCCCATGCAGAGTGCTGGAGCTGAATGGTCTTCAAGAACCCTTCAACCCAAACCATTCCATGATTTCATTATAAAATCACTTCCTTCTGCATGACTGGTTTGGGGCTGATGTTTTTTGTAGCAGAATTGGGTTTTTTGTTAACTTGGTTGGAAGGTTTAAACAACAAATTAAAAAACCAGACTTGCTTAATTGTCGTGAGTAGCTCCTAATGATGCTGGTTGGAAATATCTCTCAGGGAAGGATATTTTTAATTTTACAAAGCCAACAGACAAACTCAATTTTAGTGGCAGGCCAGTGCTGTGGGTGTTCAGGCGTTTCTAAGAAGCTGTATATTCTTTTTATTTGTACATATAAATGTAAATGTATATATAAAATATATAATATTTGTTTTATATATATAACAAATATTACATATAAATCCATTTCCCACATTATCAAACCCTATTGGGCCAGGATAGCACTTGGTGCTGGCACGTGCAGCCTGGCCCAGTGCTCAGGGCACGTTTGTCACATCTCTCATGTTAAACCTGGTTCCTGTGGGTTTGTAGGTTGTGTTTGATCTCTGCTGAAAATTGACTCACGTGAAGCTTTAACAGGGGCCTGCAGAGTGAATTATAGAAATGAAATTGTAATTATCAGGTGATTTCATTGCTTCCCTTAAATAATTCTCCTGAACAAAGCAGCAATTGACAAAAAAAGGCTGCTCGAGTTCATCTGTGTTTTATTTTCATGATTCAGCTTATTTGAGGATTCCTGAACAAAAACTGTGCTGCTCCTGCTCTTCCCTGAGGCAAGAAGGTGTTGGTGGGAAGGTGTTGAAGGGCACTTTGGTGAGCTGGGCTGAATGTTTTATTTCTGAGGCAGCATCAGCCTTGCTCTGTGGCTTCCTTCAGCTACTGAGTCACCAAACCACACGTGAAATAGTTGTTAAGTGTCAACAGCAATGTCAGGTGTCAGCTCTTGGAAATGTTCAGTCTAATGCACTTCTTTCCTTGCACAGAAAACCCATGAAAAGCAAAAATACTGAGCAACTTGAGCAGACACAGGTGGAGCCCAGAGCTCACCCATTTAAACACTTTTATGAGTAGAGCAGCCCCTGTGACCTGTCTGATATTGGCTCATTAAATTCATTGACACAGAATATTTCAGCTGATGACATTGATCTAACGAGTTCTTCAGGAAGAATTTAGAAGATTCCAGATCAGGAAGAACTTCCTGGAAAGGGTGGTCAGGACTTTGGCAGGGATGGAGTCCCCATCCCTGCAGGTGCCCAAGGAACACCTGGATGTGGCACTCAGTGCTCTGGGCTGGTGACCAGGTGGGGATTGGGCACAGCTTGGATTTGATGGGCTGGGAGGGCTTTTCCAACCTCAATAATTTTGTGTTTCTAAGTCTAAATAGTAAATTTATTCCAGGAACTGCTCTCCAAGTTTTGAGCTGCTGGTAAAGTTTTCTTTGCCTGTGTGGGGGCCCAATTTCAGCAGCTTGAGCTGAATAATAATGGGGGGCTCTGTTTGGAGCAGTTTTTGCAGGAGGGCTGGGAAAGGCTTTGAAGCCTTGCTGAGGGGAGGGGGATGAGCTGTGTGCTTGCTTCCCTGCAGCAGCTACAGGTAGAAGCAGGTCATTCCTGCCTATGGAAAAATCCATCTTTTCTGAGCATTCTGCTGCTCTTCACTTTTTCAAAGGAAATTTTCAAGATTTTGCCTTAGGAAAAACCAAATGCATATTTCATGCAAACCTCCAGATTTTGTTGGATCACCTAGGAAACAACTCTCTCTCTTTATTTTCTTTAGAATGAGGTTTTTCTTCTCACTTTTCCCTTGTCACTTGTGGCACCAAGCTCCATTGACAGGATCATCTCTTTCAAAGGCCCCTTCAGTGTCCAGAGGCCATTGGCAGAAACCTGAAAAACTTCCTTGAAGATTTTTCAGCTCTTTGCCAGATCTTCCTTTCCCTCACAAGCTTGTCAGGAAGCTAAATTAGGACTGATTCCCATTTGGATCAACAAGATAAAAATACAGAATGCCCAGAAGGTGCAGAGAACACAATGCTGGGAAGGGCTGTTCCCCAGGAGGGAATGAGCTGTAGCTGAGAACAGAAGGCCTGTCCTTACTCCTACAAGCCCAGTAGTGGTATTTGCATTTTGTGTGCAATTTTGAGTGCAAATTTGTGAGAGCAAATTTGTGAGTGCAAATTTGTGTGAGTCTTTTTCTGTGCCTGCTCCCCACTGGGACAGGTTTTACTTTAATCCACAGCAGTATTATTTACCCAAATGCACTGTAGGTGCATGAGGCACCTGGAGCTTGGAAAAAGCTGGAATGACATGAGAATTTGCTCCTCAGGTGAGATGAGCTGCTGGGCCTCACCTTTGCTGCATTTCTTTAGCTGAATTTTAGTGCTAAAACCAGCAGGGAGCCATGAGAAAATAGTGGGATTGAAACCATGCCTGTAGAACTCCCACAATATTGGCTTGGAATGCAGTTTTGGGGTGTTTCAAAATATATCAGCAGGGGCTGAGGGTGAATCCAGGTGTGCCAGAGGCCAAGGACACCTGGTTTGGATCAGCAATAGTGTGGCAGCAGGAGCAGGGCAGTGACTGTCCCCTGAGCTGGCACCGCTGGGGCACCTCCAGTGCTGGGGTCAGCTCTGGGCACCTCAGGGTGAGAAGGACCTGGAGGGGCTGGGGGTGTCCAGGGCAGGGAATGGAGCTGGGAAGGGGCTGAGGGAGCTGGG